CCGGCCCCCGGGGCGTGCGTGGGGCCCCGGACGGACCTCCTCGTCCAGGCTGGGTGACCTTGGGTCAGTCACGTCGCCCTGAGGGCCTCGGCTCCTGGTCTGCACACTGGGGAGACCCTCGGGGACCTGCTAGGGCCCGGATGAGGTTTCGGGCGCGACGCTGCCAAGGGGTTAGCACTGTGCCCGGCGCTTCGCTTGTGCTTACAAAGTGGTCATTGTCATGAAGATTGACATCACACCATCGCCGGTTTGGGCTCTCTTTGGTGACTTGGTGCGAAGACCCAGGCGGGGTTCAGGACGCTCTCCATCCCATATGGACAGAGACGTAGCTTTCCTGGGACTCCTGGCGCCTGTGGATGGTGGGGAGATGGTTCTAACCGCCGGGGAAGAGGCTGGGAGTCTTTTTGGAGAACAGGAGAATGGTGGGAGGGGGCCTCTGGGTTCTCTGGTCTCCTTTTTTGTGTGACAAGAGACCTGAGCCACCAGGGCGGGTGTGACTTTCCGGAGGACTCGGGGAGGGATTGGAAGCACATCTGGGACCAGGAATCCGGCTCCCAGATGAGCTGTTCCTTCTCTGTTCTGGTGCCTTTAATAAGAAGTGTGGCCTGACCCAGAATTTTGGCCCCAGTTCCTTATTGTCCATCTCCTCATCTGGTCATTTGCCATGGAAAGAGAAGAAAGAGGATAGGGAGTTTGGACATCATGGGGACGTCCATGTGGGGTCCTCTGACCCTGGCTTCTGAAGCATCTGATCTGATGTGGTCTTCTAGGCCTCACAGCTGGCCTGTGGGCACAGTTCCCAGGCCCTGCTTCAGACCTGCCTGGGCCTAGGAACCTGCATTTGTAACCTATAGTCTATTGTCCGCTCAAGTTTGAGAGCTGCCCTGCCCTGATTTGGGAAGGTGAAAGAAGTGGAGTGTCTGGAGCTACTGGATATAAAGAGGGTGGATATGGATTTAGGACAGTCAGAAGGAGATGCAATCACAGCCGGGCAGAAGGTACTGTTGCCTACTAGTTGGGGAGTTCCCCATGCCTGCTTGTGTCCCAGGCACAAAGGCAGGGCAGCCCAGCCTGGTTTGGGGACCCCCTGGAGGCTCTGTGGGCTGACTTCCCCAGATCTGATGGAGCAGCTGTTGAAGTCATCCTTTTCATCGCTTATGTTCTTCCAGCCTGTCTTTAGCTGAGTGACCTTAGGCAAGTTGCTTCGGCCCCTGGGTCACAGTTTCCTCATCTGTAAAATGGGCTGATCCTTGTACAGTACTCAGAACAGTGCCTCACACCTAAGAACCCTCGAAAAGTATTAGCTGCTATAATGGCTTAAGAAGGAACTACGGTGATTAGCTCAGACCCTGATAGCAGTTAGCAGTGGTGTGGCAGAGATATAAAAAAGTTTAATGTGGTGCCAGGCTTGTGTGGTTCAGTGGTCATGGTTTGTGTGCAGGAGGCGGCACATACCTAGGTTTCAGGCTCAATCCCCAGTAGGGGGCATGCAGGAGGCAGCTGATCAGTGATTCTTTCATCATTGATGTTTCTATCTCTCTCCCTCTCCCTTCCGCTCTCTGAAATCAATAAAAAACTTTTTTTTAAAAAAAGTTTAATGCGGCACCTGGGACCAGAGCAAACTTGATGTCCCTTCACTTGGGCCTTTTTTTTGTTTGTTAATCCTCACCCGAGGATATTTTTTCCATTGATTTTTAGAGAGAGTGGAAGGGAAGGGGAGAGACAGACAGACACATATCGATTGGTTGCCTCCTGCAGGCGCCCCTGCCAGGACTGGGGATTGAGCCTGCAGCTCAGGTACTTGCCATGGACATGAATCAAACCCGAGATTTTTCAGTCCACTAGCTGATGCTCTATTCACTGAGCCAAACTGACTAGGGCTTCTCTTGGACCTCTGGACAAAGCCACAAATACAGGCATTTGCAGCACCATTTTCGGGTTCTGCGTGGCAGACCTTGCTAATCACTCAGGGCACTCTTTCCAGCTGAGCCTGGACTTGGTTTCAGAATCCACCAATGAACACCCCAGTCAGCTACAACTAGTAGATTGGTACTGGCACCCAGGTGAATGCCATGGACCACCTTGGTTTTGCTGCCAGTGACTGCAGTGTTTGGGGCCTGTCCAGTCCAAAGGCTGTCCTTTCTGCTTTGTTGTCCCTTGCTTGGAGAGGGTCAGTTGGAGGCAGAGGGGATCTTAGCAGTACTTTAGTATGTGTTTCTAGCAGTAGACTGGGGACTACAGGAGCATTTGAGATGATTTTAGCAGGTTCCCCAAAGGATCTTTCAATTGATTTCTTATTTTTTAAAAATTATTATTATTATTTTTAAATATATTTTTATTGATTTCAGAGAGGAAGGGAGAGGGAGAGAGAG